CAGATATTAAAATTAAAAATATTTCATGAATATTAAAAGTTACGTTTTGAATCCCTAAGATATTTTTGACTATCATAATGTAATACAAACTTTTTTGGAAAATATTTGTATGTGGAGTAAATATTTTTAAATTTAAATAGAAAAACTGCTTATTTAAAAAATAGTTTAACGCTTAAAAAATTAATAATAAATGGATTATTTATATATTGTTATATAAGTTTGTGTAAACAACAATTTATTATTATAAAACATTTACGTATACAGGACGAGTTAAAATGTTATTTTACAATATATTACGTATATCATAATGTGTCCCAAACAAATATAACATCACAACAAAATATATACTTCGGACATCACAAGAAGAGTAAAAACTTATATAAATTTAAAATATACAAAAATTACCATTTATTTACCAAACTTCCTATAGAGAGTTGAAAATTTTCAATGAGAATTCCACAAATTTCCTTCCAAGCCTTACTCTTTGATATCATATTACCATATGCTTTCGTACTGCTGTTCCAAACCGCAGAACGTTGTTCAATATCGACTATAAATCGATCTGCATCGAACGCCATATTGCTCACTCAATACTGAACCCCGTAATCCCGACCCCGAAAATCAAAATAAAATATCTCTACCAATGTTTGTAGAAGTCGACGACACAGTCGACGACAAAAGTGGCCCGTGTGGACGGTTCCAGCTACTGAGTGTCGCCGCTTCTCTTCGCCACAGACGCTCGTCTGGACAGCTTCTAAATTTTAACATTGAATTGAATGGCAGGCGTTTATCCGCCACGAAGTGGCGCTGCTAAGTGTCACCACTGAGTGGCTCGTCTGGACGGGCTCTTAGTCGTTGGAACCGTCCACACGGGTCACTTTTGTCATCGATTGTGTCGTCGACTTCTACTAATAATAGTAGAGATATTTTATTATGATTGTCGGAGTTCACTATTCATTAATATGGCGCTCGATGCAGATCAATTTTTTAGTCAAAATGGAAGAGCAGTTCGAAAAAATATAGGGTATTAAAGAGTAAGGCTGGTAGAATTTTTATAGAACATTTTAAAGTAATGGATTCTGGTACAAAGAACAGGGCATGTAAGTATCGCTAGAATGAGTACTTCCTCGTCTGAATCCATAATAACACTGGCAAATTTTAATTACCTTCCAACATGAGCCTACCATGGAATCGCGCTACTCAGTAGCTAGCACGTCCACACGAACGACCAGTGGTCGTCACTCTATGGCGACACCGAGTAACCAGTACATGCCACTTAGCAGCGCGACTGAGTGGCTCGTCTGGACAGGCCCTTAGGAATTTTAATTTAAAAGTTCTGCAGTAATTTAGGATTTGTTCACTGATATATAAGATTGCGTTCATGGATTTGTTGCTTTTTGTTAAACTTTTCATTGGAATTGACGATTATTAATCCAAGGATTTGTTACTTTTTTAGTTTTGACTATATGTTTTTACAAGGATATGTTTACTTTTACCTAAACCGTTGCGTGTATGATTGTAGAGATGACCCATGTCTACATGATGCATGTCAAACTCATTTTTCGACAAAAGAGGATTTGTTTTACTTTTACGCCTTGGCCTTGTACAAATCGATGACCAATCCAGTATATGCGTCTGCCTGTTGTAGTTTTTTACTGACTTCATTGATGCGATTTAGAATACTTTCCAAGAAACGCAGTTTCAAATCTGGTCATTCTTTTGATTAATCCTGCTGTCTTTCCCTTCGTAATCTCCTTAATCTCCTTCTATAAACTGTCATTTGAAATTAATTTTCCGATTTTTTTGAATATTTTCTTCATCTTTGCTTTACCAACTTGTGGACAAGAGACTTTTGGTATTATTTATCGTTCTTCTTTAGATTCTCCCAATGCGTTGTGGATACCGAAACGAAATTGTAGATTTCTTGCATAAATGTAAAATAATTTATTTATTCATTACAACAAGTTACCGTTAACCGACTAGAAAGATTTTAAATTCGGCGAAGTTGATACTCCCTTCTTAGGTGCCTCGGAAAAAAATTCCTCCTTCGAAAATTTTCCGTCCTAGGCTATAGCCTAGCTAAACCATTTATAAATCCGCCACTGCTTCTTGCCTGTTTATCTCTGTTCAATTTTAAATTTACCGAATGAGTTCTAAAAACAATTCAACACCCAAACCAATATTATTTATCCAGTACCATTTGTCTATAACACACACTATCCCACAATACCAACCGCTTTCATTCAGTTTTGCAAAGTGACGTTCTGCTGATGAATTTATTAGGCGTATTATTCGGGTCAGAGGACATGACCATTGTCTTTTGGTTGGCGGTTTCAAAGTGGAAGGAAATTTCGTGGTAAATGGTCTGAACGGGGATCGGGACTATTCGCATCATTATTATATTCATCGGCCGTTTGATGGAGTGAGCGCTATTATTTTATACTGCTCTGTATTCTTTCGGTTTTGGGTTTTGGTCGTTTCTGGGTTTTGTGTAAAGGGAAAAATGTTTTAAAGTATAGTTTAGAGTTTATGGCAGAAGATATCTGGCTTTAAGGGTTATAATAAAAAATGATTGCGCTACGAGTTATACGCTAAGTTGGTAATGGTGTAATTATGGTTCCACTGACAATTATAGTGACAAGAGACTTTTTAAGTGTATTTTGTTCTCTTTGTTTATCTAAATTATTTAGGTTTGAACTTTTTTAAAATATATTCCTAAAGTAATTCGTGTTCAGATTCCCTGAACAGAGTAAAATAATTCATTTTCCCATTTATTTCCTATTTGTGTTTTTGAAAACAGTACTCACGGTGACCTACCCACCAAAGAAGAGGGTGCATGTGGTCATCTTATCGATTTTAAAATTTCAGACTCGTTAACTTGTCGCAACCATTTATTTAAAATTATGCACCTTCAGTACCATCTTAAGAGATGTCTCTTGAGTCTTATTTTGCAGTACGACTGCCTCACGGTGTCGACCATTCGCTTTTTTGAATGGCGTCTTAAAAGATGCTAACCATTGCGCTTTGAATATTAGCTTGCGTTCTTAGGTCTGTTCCAACAACGATCAGAAACCAGTCACTAACACCAGGATTCTGCGTAGTAGATTATTGGGACCGCCAAATTATTTACTGCTCAGAATCAGAATGGTTTCTGATGGTTGTTGGAACAAACCTTATAATAACCCATTGTGCAAAGATAAGAGACATAAAGATAGGAAACGCTCATAAGAAGCGCATGCTTAACAACGACCAGCTCTAACGCAGTTAACATCTGATCCACTATGTGGCGCTATAATCGATATCAAACAAATAACGCAGCTCCGACTCATTGTAATATTGCACAATTATTATTGTCATCAAATTTCACACAAAAATAACCACAATCATTTCGGTTATTTCATCTAGAGGATAACAGAACCATGAACTCAAAATTTAAAATTCAAATTTAGGATTCTACGATATACATGCAACTAATTGACATTTATATTTACTATGAAGATATTTACAAACTGTCCACTGCTGTCCACATCTACTGTCTGTCTACAAACTAGTACAAACGACGCGTACCTTTAGTTAACATCTGAGATGCATAGATGACGCCATCGTTGCTGCGGTCGTTGCGTTTCCTATTTCATATCTTTATGTGCCTAATCTCTGCCATCGTTTTTACAAGTGAAAAAATAATCATTGTTTTGTGACCCCGTGGTTGTTGTTATTTTCAGTAATATAAAATAAATTTATTTGTGAACAGTTTTGGACGCATAAACTATTTGTTATATTAACTAATAAATACATGTAAATACTGACAGTGCCGTCCCATTTTATTGTGTATTTATTAGTATGTAGATATATTTCATTATACAGTATGTACTTAAGTTGGAACCATATGGGAAACTTTTTTATTATTGGTTTTGTGAAAAAAATTATTCTTATAAAAAATTCTGCATGGTCCAAAATTTAAAATGCAACCATCAGATATCAATTTTTTTTAAGCTGTATACAATATTTGTCAAAAAATATGAATTTTACTCAAAAGTGAAGTACCGTTATTCTTTATACGACTGTTAAAATTTATTTCTGATGATTGTATTTTACGTTTTAGACCATGCTCAACTTTTTATAAAGAATAACTTTTTTCCCAATTTTAATAATAAAAAAGTTTTTCATATGCCGCCCACTTACGCAGTCGGGTTCGGACTAAGGTCCAGAACTTTTGCCCCTTGGGCGAAAATTCCCCTTTTGTATTGTAAACTAAAGTGTAGAGTATAATTTTGTGTACGATGTGAATTATGGGTAAATATTTTAACTTAATTTTAAAGTGTTTTTGTTTAATATTAATTGATTGATTGATTTACATATAAATGCCAATTTTACATTTTCGTCCCGAATTATATTTATCTTATGCATATCTGTATTACTATTAGTTAGAGTGCTTTATTCCCTAAATGGAATTTTATTCATTTTTTTTAAGACTATTTGTCAAGTTTTATATTTATTGTTAATATACATTTGTTAATGTTTTAATACTTATTATTAATCTCTCCTCCCTTTCCAAACCAGCAAAATACTCCGAGCATTTGAGAAACATCGGCGTTTCTATTCCTTTAGGACTAAAAGAGTCTAAAACCAGTTGCCAAGAACCGCTCGACATATGCTATTAAGGGATGTTTTTTTGTATTTTATTATTTTTTCTTTATTATTTTCTTTTGCCACTGGCGAATGGATGTTCCTTCAGGACTCCAGGACCCTAGGGCTGGTGACAGGTGCTGCCTTTATCCCTTAATAGTATAATGACAACAGTAGCTAAAGACCTATCATTAGTTACAAATGGTCTTTAGGCTTCCTGGTTGTTACATTTCCTGAACAAACATGTTTTGGTGGTAGTGTTTATCTTATATATCGAAATAATAACATCGTAATCGTTATAAAACTAGCGCAACTTCTAAACTTTAAGTATATGTACGTGCCATGTTCATTTCTAATGTTATGTTTCATTCCAGGTTGATACTCCAGATAGCGTCCTCCAAAGCGGTTTGGGTCTAACAGATTTGGGCCAGCACGCTGTACTACGGTCGATGGTCGATCCCAGGGACTATGACAGACTTAGGAATCTTCAACTCAATGGCGGCACGCCGAATACCTTTGAAGAAACAATATACAAGGTAAGATGTAAAAAAACAAATTAATCTTCAGTGTCTATTTTATAATGGAGATACACAAAATGAGTCATCATTCTAGAATTGTAAAATATATAAAGATTCTAAGAGCTAATTATTTGAACACTGTTGCCTGAAAAGGCATGTTCAATATAATAGTCCGAGAGCCCGCTATAAAATAGAAAAATAAAATTAGATTTCGGTCAATTCTTTTTATTGCTTCAGTTTAAACTTTACAAGTACTTTAGAAAAATTTTGTCATTCAGATATCGCTGAAGGCCGAAGAAATTGTTAAAGTTTCAAATTTTATGTCACCTATGTCACTTTGCCCCGTGACGTGTACCAGTAAATTCATTTATGTTCCTATTAGTCGCATCTATGAAGACTAGATAGAAGGAGGCGAATCGGCATACTTGAAATACGGTCCCAAAAAACGAACGCTAATTGAGCTTTTTTAATTCACCGCTAGGGCGCTGGTGCTAGTAGCGCTGTTCAAAATACATGGCTTCTTATGGGAATTTTACGTAATTTTGTCAAAATAATAAAAATGAACTTGTTTATTGCCAAATAAAGCACAGAATATACTGTTGCATTTATTTACAAATAAGTCTCGCATGTTTTAATTGATAAATTATTTAATTTTATCTATATAAATAGCAAATTAGGTAGGTATGACAAAATTCGAAAGTACAATTTTGTGTCTAAATTTTTTTAAATAAAGGGAGATTTAGGAATGTACATGATATTGCCTTATCCTTTAATTTCGACATTTTCCTTTTTATTTTACTAAGTACCATCAGTAAAAAGAGTCTTATAATATTTGGAAATATCTTCTAAAAAGTGTAGAACGGCATCATCTCTAGAAAGTGCTTTATCGGCTCTAGAAACGATATAGATGCTGCCACTGTTCTAAGCGTTTAGGATCCTATAAAAAACATTTACAAAATTGGGGTTCAACAAAAAAATAATAGTAACAACTCTTTATCTAACATTAAAACCCTATAAAAAAAAAATTTTAATTTTTTAATAAGTTAAATTTAATGTTTAATTATTGTCAGGATCTATGACTGTAAAATTTAATTTTATAGAAACTTGTAATAAAATAAACTACACTCCGTGATACGTATTGTGACTAGTTTACAATAAATATTATATTTGGACATATGTACATTATTTTACGTACATTAGAAGCTTTAAAAAGACATTGAATTGATTTCTTCTTGTGTTTTCTTTAGTTTTACATCTAATTTATATCCTGTTTTACAGCCTGGAGCGAAGTAAATCTTGCTTTAATGTTTTTTGTCACTCATGTTACTTGTACTCAGGTACTTTATTTCACATTATTTTGGTTCTTTTCACCAATTTTTTAAAAAATTACTTTATTTTACATTGATTTATATAGAAAATTAACGGCAGTGACGATCGACCTGCCAACTACAGTCAATTTAGCGAACTTTATAAAATGGACAGAAATTTGAAATTTAATCATTGCCGATTCGCCTCCTTATCTCTAGTCTTCATAGTCGCATCTCTGTCTGTGTATTGTAGGAACAGTGAAATAGAATAATAATTGGGTGTGTTCTTTAAACAATTTGGTCAGTGCATTAACTGGTGTTGCAACAAAATACAAAGGGTAGCGTCGACTAAAAATTGCCAGGGAGCTCTTAAGTTATCTTGACAACTTTGCAGCAAACAAATACTTGACTATGACTAGACAGAATCTGTGCCTAGATACAGGCATTCTTACTGGTCAATGCCAAGTACGAAAGAATCTCCTTATCATGGGGCTGTCAGAATCCCCACTCTGCAGAGGGTGCGAACAAGAAGATGAGACTATCGAGCATATCCTTTACGATTGCTCGACGCTCTCATTTATTAGAAGATTTGTATTCGACGAGAATCGGCTAACACCGGCCGATATAAGAGAAGCACCTCTTGGTGACGTTGTCAACTACATTAAATCTATAGGCTGGCTCACGAGCTAGGAGGTGCCTATCATCTCAGAAGGATGCACAATGGGCCTAATGAGGCCTAAATGCCGTGAGGGTAACCCACCCTCCACACGTTACAGATCGGATTACGCTATTTGATTTAGAATAACAGATTATAATGTTGTTATAACTATTTATCTTAGAAACGAATTCAAGATCTTGTCTTTAGAAGGCATACGTAAACTGGCAGCTCCATTTTTTAATTTAAAATAGTTAATAATAAAATAAACTCACCAGAGATTTTATCCTTATTAAGATTTAATGTGCCACCTATACTAAGTATCTATTTAACATTCCACTATTGCTTACAACCACCTGTTTGCCGCTTGTAGCCATGTGTATCGATTAGAAAATAACTTTAATGAATGGATAGATTTAAACTAGATAGTCTCAGTAAACGTCTTTTGGAAAAATAATAATTGTTCATTTCTAGATTTAGACTAGATAGTCTCAGTAAGCATTTTTTTGGAAAAATAATAATTGTTCAATTCTTTGAACCGCTCTCGAGTAATACATTATTTCGTTGTAAATAATACCGTTGTAAATCATTGGCTGCGTTCATCCGCGCCATTTCAAGGAGCGCTACAAAAGTAGCGCTCACTTACGCTACCTGATCGATCTTTATGCACGGATGAACCATGTTTAAAAGTGACATTTGATTTTGGTTTATTCATTTTACTTTTGAGTTGAATGTCTCTGGTTGAAGATTTGTTTGTTTATTTTTCAATTGCTAATATAACCCTACTAGTCACCAAGCAAACCGTGGACGTAAGTGCGTAAGACAGATCAGTGATCACCGATCAGACGTAAATAAAATGCGCTACTTTTAATTGCGGCTGCTCCTTGAGCGAAATGTCAAAATACACCGTTCATACGTGCCACTCGAGAGCGCTACCAGATCGATCAGGTAGCATGTGGCGCGGATGAACGCAGCCATTGTCAAAACTAAAAGTTTCTGATTTCGAGCGTTGTGCCAGTAAAGCATATGGTAGTAATTTAGCTTTTTATTTTAAATTCCGACCGAACAATTGAGAAAGTAGGTAATTCCTTGTATATATAGTTAAACCAGAGATCTAGTGACTACCATAAAACAGCAGGTAATTTGCTTATCAGCAGGCGGCCGTCTCTACGCAGAGACGTACCTACTCTAGCTATTAAGATTTGTTCTATAGGTCAATAATTGGGGTAAAATAAATATTAAGAAAAATCGCTATTATTCAGAATTGTTTTTTTAATTATACAGTGTGCACAAAAAGTAACGTGGTAACTTGGTAAAAGTAAAAGTCGGCATGACAAAGTACGAAAAAGTAGGTAGATAATAAAAGTACTAAAAAAGTAAAAAATAAAGTATTTAAAAGTACCAAATGTGGGTTGAATATATAAAATGTAATTATTAAAAAGTATAACGTGGTAAAATGGTAAAAGTAAAAGTCGGTATGACAAAGTACGAAAAAGTAGGTAGGTAATAGAAGTACTAAAAAGTAAAAAATAAAGTATTTAAAAGTACACAATGTAGGTTGAACATATAAAATATAATTATTAAAAAGTATAAAGTGGTAACTTGGTAAAAATAAAAATCAGTATGACAAACTACGAACAAGTAGCTAGGTCATAGTGATTGTTTCTACCCTAACATTGTTAAATCTATTCATAATAAATAAAATATTAAAAAATGAAATGTAAAAATTCCACTATTGTCAATCCTGACGATAGAAGTTTATGCTTCTGAAACAATTGTCGATTTTGAATTACTCAGATAAGTATTTTTATTAATATAGTGGAATTGTTACATTTCATTTTCTAATATTTTATTTATTTAAACAAATTTAAACAAAATTACTCACGAAGTTCAGTTTCACTTTCACTATCGTCATCCAAATTAATAATGAACCTTTCTCTTGGTATCTTTTCTATATCAATATATGTCTTTTCCACCTTTTTTTATATGGGAAACTCACTTGGTCCAGCTGCTATCAGGAATTTTTGCAGCTTCTGTTTGAATAAGAGCTACCACAATCGAACTTAAGGTTGGAAACGTATTATTTCTTTGAACTGCTGACTTAAGCTGACGCCATATATCGTCGTATTGGTGGTGAAAAGAGCTAAGCCACACACATCAATTGGAGAAAATGGGTAAATAAGTTTGAAACTTTTAGGTTAAAACAACTTTTGATTTAAATCTTAAGTTTTTAGTCACTAAATATGATAACATTTGGTACAAACGAAAACACGTCCTTCATTTTAAGACTGATTTAAAAAAGAAAAAAAAAAAGAAAAGAAAGGTATGTCGCTTAAAATTCCACTGAAAGAGATGTATGTATTTTCACCTAGTTTCTTTCAGTTTGTGGGATTTTAAGGTTATAATTACATAATCGCTTATCTCTCATCACCACTGTATTTTTCAGAATTGTTTTATTTATGTGATATAATTAACTAATTTTGCCTTAAAATGTGGCTTAGCTCTTTTCACCACTAATACAACGATATGTTCAATTGTGTTAAACATACAGTGGTAAGGAGGAAGTCTGAGCACATTATGTCCCCAAGCTCTCAGCTAATGTGTCACAAAAATATTTCTTTTGTATTGAATAGCTCTTTAAAACTTCCAGTAACTGCTTTTTTGTGTACTTTTCCTCAAAGTACAAATCATTGTTTACCATGTTATCTTGTATGATGGCTTTTATGTCGTTTGAACTTCGACTGTGGTATCTGGCATTATTCATGACAATAACACTGTTGGGTAGAATATTTCAAATAATTCGGCAGTAGTATCGTCATGGTAATCGACTAAGGAGTCCTTAATATTTTTTGCCGATAACGACAACGCATTAGGTATAAAACCATTATTGGTTCGTGCGTGTATTTAGTAATACGTTTGCCTTTATTATGTGGCGCATTAGTCTGGCACAAGTCAGATGAGTCTACCCAACTTTTGTTTGGAATATCGTGTGTATCGAACCAAGTTTCATCCAAATACACAACTGTTCTGCCAGCTTCTCTAAAATCATTTGTAGC